CGTGACACTGAGGGTTGCGATCCGTTGCCGGTCACGAAAAAAGACAAAAAAAAGGAAAAAACTGCCAGCCCCTTATTTAGTGCCCCTAAAGTAGTTCTGTCCCATGGGAACTATGTGGCCATAGTACACTTTATCATTTCCCCCCAGATATTGCCCAAAACAGAGTAATAATCACTGGAAGTGGGAGATGGGCTGGGGAAGCTAGAACCACACAGGTAGAAAAGGGAGTGGAAAAGCTTGTTTGTAGGTCCAAGACACCAGAAGCTACAACCGCTTCCCTTTGGGAACCACAAACACCAGTGTGAAGACAACATGAGAGGGTTACACAACAATCTGTCAAAAAAAACCACCTGCTGTGGCCCTGGAAATCCTGACGTGGGCTGGCTCTACCCACAGTACGTAAGACCCTAAAACCTTTCAAATAAACTGTTAGTGCATTGAGAACAGAATATTGATTCAAAGTTATGAAGTTTCTGTAAACATAATCCCTTCATTTACACGTTGACAATACTTCTGGTATTATAAGAAAAAAGTTAACGAAGATGATCACACATTGCTGATGTTCTTCTGGTTTTCTTTCACTCTCTTCAGCTCTGGTGGGTCTGAAATTGCAGTTGCCTGTTTAATCTCTCCTTTGTATTTTACCTGCGGAGGATAAATAAAGATTTTAACAGAGAGCAGAAATGGCTCTACCTAAGTGCCACAGAGGATGAGGCTCAAAATGACCCGATGTTTTTACACACTTGGATCCGTATCAACCTTGCCTTTCCTATCTACTTCTGGATTCTGATTAACAAATGTTGGTTGTGCTGTTTAAATGAGTCTTCCATAAATACTTTGCTGTTCAATATCAAAACTAACTGCAAATTTCACTCATGAAAATAATGGAACTGTCAGGGAGCATGCTTTAAAAGAAATTCTGTAGTGACCAGAATGAGGTCACTACAAAAGAACTATAGAGAAGTCGAGCTGGCAGCCTGGGAAGGCTTTTCACTCTCTTTCTGACCCTGAAATTTCCACCTTCAATAGAAACTAAACACCTCTGACTCCTACCACCTTCCAGGGATATTATAAGGATAAAGGATATGGAACCTGATTCTCTCCCTCGCCTCAGAGAACTCACTCAAATTTTAAAGTCTTTCAAATGTCCTGTTTCAGAAGAAGGCGGTTATTGTTTATATTGGTAAAAGTTCCACAAAAGGGTCACAAAATGGGAAAAATAACTATTGAGGGCACCGTTGAAAGGGGTTGCTGAATTCTAGGAGACCTGAGTTCAAATCCCAGATGTGCCCTTACCAGCCATGGGTCCTAACACGTCCTCCAATCTCCCCAAGACTCAGTTTCCCAAATCCACCAACCAGAAAAATGAATAGTACTGACCTCATAGATTCGCATGAAACATTAGCACAGGGTCCAGCACGTAGTAGAGGGGCCTCATAATTGTTAATAATTATTGCTTTAGTAGCAATAAGTGACTGAATGATTGAACAATGTTTTCCATTTTGTTGATAAGATTCCTTGCCCTGACGCTATGTCTTACTTAGAATGCCAGCAAGCCACGTCTCCTTTTGCTCTATTCCAATAGATAATTTTCCTCAGGTTGACACAGACCCAGTACTCGCCAGGTCCTTACCTGGGTTTATTTTTAGAGATTTACCAATTACACTATGAGGTCCATGAAGACAGGAAGTGGGTCTTATCGATCTTTGTGTCCCAGTGACCAGGACAATGCCTGGTACATTTGGATGCCTAATAAAA